AAGAAAAGGGTATGGGATCCTTAATTCAGCACTTAATCTGATCTACTTTTTATTAAAGAAATTTATATTGATAAGACAAAAAAAATCAGCTATATTCTTTTTATTTGGAATTTTATTCTGTTGAAGAAGCTTGAAAAAAAAATAATAAATCTGTGTCAAAGGAAACATCTGCTTCTTAAGCAGTTTAAAATAAATTGAGAAGTAAAAACACCCGCATTTCCAATGAACAAAATAAAGAAATGCAAGTTGGAAAAAACAGATCAATCAATCTTGACAGCTGGGCTTGTGCTTTACTGATTTGCACCCCCCCATTTCCCTCCTCTGTTTGACCATAAATTAACCACACCCAGTTGACATTGAAACTACCATGTGGACAACAAAATGAATTCTATCCCTTTTGCGGTTTTTTATTTGATTCATTAATTTTTTTATTTTGCTGCTTTTTATAAGTTATTAACTGATAATTTTTTTCTTCTTGTTAATAGTTGTTTGCTTGTTTTTTTATTTTTTATCTTTATTAGTTTTTAGCTTGTTTTTTGCTTGTTCTTAGCATTAATTGTTAAATTTTTTTTTTTTTGTAGTTTCTTGTTAGCTTTTTTTTCATGCCAGATTAGCCTCTTTTGTTAAAACAAAATGTTATCTAAAAGAAAAAAGGAGAACTATGATCTTGCTCTAAAGAAGAAACGATTATTTCTTCTTCATAGGATTCGGATTATTTCTTCTTGATTATATTATATAGATTATTATATTGATTAGTAAAATTTCTTAAGATGGGCCAGTTTTAAATTCACCTCATCATAATCTACGATCGAAACTTGACTAATTTAATTGGTTTTTCTGAAATTAACAATGAATATTTGGAGACCATATTGGAATTTCTGAAAGAGATCCGAAGTTCGGCATTTCGTCAGTCCCGTGAGTGTCGGATTTAGGGTCCTATACTTCCTTTTCTGTTCGCTCAAATTACAATTGCCAAGGCGCTAAATAGATTTCTAGCTTGCGATTTTTCCTTAAGCTGGGGGTGGATACAAGATGCATACCTTTTAAATTTTCTCCTTATGCGATGTTTTTTTAAAATTATTATTTCGTTTATTTATTTTCTTACAGGCTGCTGCCAAAAAGTTTGCTAAGAATTGGCGATGTTCTGCAGCAGATCGCGATATGGGCGAATATTTCGTCGACTTCGTTATTAATTTTTTTAAATAGTCTTTCTCTCAGAAAATTATTCCATCTTAAATAACTTTCCTTGACAAATTTTTTTGCTACTAAAAAATATTTCGTCGGAAGCGCCGCATGTAGGAAAAAAACAACTTTTTTTTCCATAGCGCCGAGGCGCTTCCGCCGAAAAATACGGTATATATATATTTATAAACACAATAAAGAAAAGAGAAATCATGGAGCAATTTAAAAAAAAAGTCTTATTTATTGCAGTATAAGCTGCAAGTACATAAAAATAAGTAAAAATAAAAGGAACCCATAAAAATACAAGGAGACATGGAAAAAAATATATAAATTTTTTAAAGGAAAGAATAAAAGTATTATAAGATATCAAATATTAAAAAATTAAAACACTGGAACACAAAATAAGGAAAATATATAATCTTGACATCAGCTCACACGATTATATCTGCAAAAAAGAGTGCCTTCTAATATTGTATTAATATAGCCAAAGCAAAATATATCAACACAATTGTGTGAGGAGCGCCAAAAAATGTGGAAAGGAAAAATAGAACATATATAAGCAAAAAATGTAAAATTAAACATAAGTAAAAACAAGAAAATAAAAATTCAAGAAAATATCCTCTAGTTATTCTTCTATTTTCAAATTTTGTAATCTGGCAAACTTGTTCCGAAAATATTTTAAATCATTTTTGAAAGATGTCGGTAAGTGTAAGTACATTTGAATTTGCAACTCACTATATATATTACATTTTGTGTTTTATTTTGAATTTTCTTGTACTGTTATTTTCTATTCTTCGTTTGATATGTTTCATTTTTTGCATAATATATTCTATTTTCATTTCAATTTTTTCTGCACTTTTCACAGTATTGTATTGATATATTTTGTTTTGACAATATTAGAAAGCAGCCTTTTTTGTAGACATAATCGTGTGAGCTAATGATGAGATTAGAACTTTTCCTTATTTTGTTTTCCAGGTACTTAAATATTTAAAAAAAAAGCATTTTATTTAGCATTTTCCATGTCTTCTTTGTATATTTTACTATATGGGTCATTCTCACGAAAACTGTCATTTTTCAGTTCATAAAATCCCAAAAAAGTAAAGTGAATAAAAAGCTCTGAAACTTTTTATATTAATAGAAATATGTAATGACATTATAAAGAAAGTATATATCCAGTAAATTATAATTAATATTTAAATTAATTATTTTTTTTAAATAATTAATTTATAATTAATTAATTTATAATTAATTAATTTATAATAATTAATAATTAATTAATTAATTTAATAAATAAATTAATTAATTTAATAAATTAATTTATTAATTTTTTAATTTATTTTTCAAATTAATTAATAAGTAAATTAATTATTTTCACTATTTAAAAAGTGAGGGAATGACACTAATAGTGAGGGAATGATATTTTATTTTAATACATGTTTTTATCTAAGTTACATCTACCTAAAGTTTGAAAATGATAACATACTAAGTATATCTAATATTTATTATAATTTAGTCTTATATATTTAATAGTTTTTACAGGTTTGGGAAATAAAATTGGCTGGCACGATTGAACAAAAAAAAATTTAATAATATACTCATCTTGAATCATTCCCTCACTTCAGCGTCATTCCCTCACTTTATACACTAGTGAGGGAATGACGAATTCAATAAAATTTAAAAATAACAGTTAGGCCTAATTAATTTCTGAAGTCAATCACATACAATTATATTCATACAAGAAAGCAACATATAATTATCCACTTTCTCGATGAAGTTGTATTTTATTTTACTCTAAAAAATGACATGAGGGAATGACAAATGTAAAAAATTTTACCTGGTTTGATTCATTCAAATTTATTCCACAGCAAAGCTTCTTTAAGTTGAAGATGGAAACATACTGCAATTTTGTTCTATGATGCCAGTTGTTAACTTCTGAAGTTTTTATTAAAATATTTTTATTCTAAGAAGATTGCAGGTGATAAGAACATTGTTGTGAGGGAATGACGCGAAACACTGGGGACAAAGTTTAAAATAGTGCTGTGTTAATATTTTTATCAGAAATTAAATTTAAAATTGATTTTCTGAATTCTATATTTCAGTATTCTGAAATAAAAAACACGAATTTGTAAAAAAAAAAATTTTATTTCAGAAACAATTTTTTTCTTTTTTTAAATCAGCAGTGGGGACAAGTGAGGGAATGACATATTGGTATATTTTAATTACCTAAAATAAATAAAAAATAAAAATTGATAATTTTATTTTTATTCTTTTGTTAGCTTGCATTCTGAAGTACACTTTCCCTGAATTTCTTTTTTTCGTAAGCTGTAAAACAAACATAAAATATACTGGGGACATGAAAATGACTGTTTTTGTGAGAATGACCCATATCTATACACACATACGTGTGTGTGTCAAATCTACCGAGTAATACTTTCAGCTGACATATTCTATTAAAGTAACTCTAAATCTGTAAAATATTTTAAACTCTCTTCTCTTATGAAAATAATGAACATGATATAAATATTTACAAATCGTTAAAAAATAAACAAGCAAATATACAATATCATTAATAATGCAAAAAAAGGAAGAATAAAAGATGGAAACTAGTTTTGCTTTAAAATCTAACAGTAGTAATAATTTTAGGAAAATATTTTAAAATTCAAAATTAAAAAAATATATATAAACTATATAAAAGATGAACTACCTGTTTTAAGCATCAGCTGCATAAAATAATTTGATATTACTTAGTTTTGCATTTACACATTAAAGAGAAAAAATATATTTATACTAAGGTAAGGGAAAGCACAGGTAAATTTAGAAGAAAAAAACAGTTCAGCTGTAAACATCAAGCTGCAAGCATCAGCTATAAACTCCTACTGAAATGCGGGCATGTAAGAATATCTAAGAAACTCATTAAACAATCAAATAATTCATGGCAAAGCAAATTCATTTTCTTAAAGAATCAATATGCATTTTTCACAGATTGCACACCAACTTTGCCTAGAACATTGAAAAGTGCTTAGCAGCAGAAAAAATAGGAGGAAATATCAAAGTTCAATATTAATACAAAAAAAACACTTGACTGATACTGATGCTATAAATAAACTAATATTGATGCTAATAATCCAGAGATATTGATGCTAAAAAAACTGCAGATGATCTAAAAATAAAATATAATAAATCATAAATAAAACATAATAAAAATAAAATATATAAAATATAATATGTGAGTCTGGCATTGCTGCTGAAAGCTGCTCTATCAAGTCATTATGAAAAACAATATAATTTTAAAGTGGGCAAGTCAGAACACAATGTATATTTTCAATGCATTTCATTTAATATATATTATCTATTTTCACTTTTTAATCAAAAGCTGACATGGGTATATACATTTTGATGTTTTTTAGATTTTTTTGCATTATTCTGAATGCCTAATTTTGATAAAATAAAATGAAAACGTTTTTATCATTAAAAAGCATATTTTCTTTTATTTATCAATGCTACTCACTAACAAAGCAAAAAATTGTACAATCACTCTCAAGAAAAACAGTGTCCAGAAAAGATTCAAGAAGATAGGTTGCTATTTATAATCACTAATTTTAAAAATATAGTTATGATGCACTTAAGGGTATGATGGATTCCTTTACTTGTGCCAAATTGTTATGAAAATTCATAATCAATTTTCTTTCTAAAAGTTAGTGAGTATAGAATAATTGATATTGAATTACTTTATTGATGAATTACTTTTATAGCTACTAAATAAGAAAAAATATGTTATATTTGTACAGGAGGAATATATTTACACAAAGAATTTTTACCTCATGCCTAAGGTTTTCATTTTTTGTTTCTTGTAAAATTTTTCTGTAGTCCAGACATGATTCTTTACCTGAAAAAATGATGTTCCTTAATAAATACAAATTAATGTGCTTAAACTTGTTGATTCATTCATAACAAAGTTTGGGACTGAAAAGAACAACTTTATGGACAATATTATGTAATAACTTTATGGAGTATATTACAGAACTCACTTTTGTAAATATACAGTTAAAACTTCGTATGAGAACAATAAAAATGTTAAATTTACAATAAAAATACAATACAATATTTCATGTATGTAAATATATAAAATGCAGGATCAAGAGGAAACATCTGTCCCTGGGAGCAGAATCAAATGACATCAAAATGCTTTTGACAGGTTTGTTCCTAAGTTATAACATGCCACTAATTTCTTTAATTCCTCAGAATATTCCATCAAGACTTTCAATTAAGTTTATCTTATTTGTGCCCAGGGGTTCTCTTAAAATGATGGATTCTTTTCCCATAAAAGAAAAAAGTGGTAATCTTAAAGATTTGGTTTTGAAGAAAACTAATGAGAATTGCTTAAATATTGAATATTTAGATTTTAAAATTGATATTGTTGATAAAATAATCAAAATTGGTGTTTTTGATAAAAGGAAAGCTTTTAAATTTAAAGTTATTTGTTTCTGCAACTCTGAAACTACTCGGTGTAATAAAATTTTCAAAAATTTTGTTTTTTCACAATTGGTTAGGATTAAAAATATTTGCAATAACATTGAAAGTTTTCAGGAAGCTGTGAATAATTTGAGTAATAATGATTTTCCTTTTAACTTTTGTAATGTTAATTTTTTGATTAAGAAAATGATTGAACAATACTAGATTTTTATTTCTTTTAACAGGGCGCAATTCAAGTCTTAACTGAGCAGCCCCAGTTAAGCATTATATTAATTTGTTACCTAATCTTCTCTTTTGCTTCTCCTTCTTTCAATCTGGGCATTTTAATAGAGGGCATTATTTTCTTTTGTTTTAAGTGTTTCCTTTGCATTTAGTTTTCTTGTGAAATTGCTGTTTGACCGGTTTAATGTGAGCTTTTATTTTCTCAAGTTTTTATTTGAATTTCGTTTCTGAATTGGTTTTATATATTTCATGTATTTTTCTGGACTTCTACAAAGCCTTCGGGGTACTGAGAGAGTTACTTTTGGTATTTAATTTTGCCTCTCTCTCAATAGAAAAGGTTTTATTTTATGGCTTCCGAGGCCGTTACCCCCTGAAGACGCCGGCTTCGGTCGTCACATTTTTATTTCCTTTGTTTTCTTTATTGCTATAAGGTCAATTAAGGTCATTTCTTTAAAAGTTAATTACAAGTATGTTAAAGAATTTTATCTAATTAAAGCAACATCAAAAAATTTTATTTAGCTTTATTATTAATATAGAGTTGCTAGTTATGGAAATGCACTTATTTCCACAGGGTATAGTTGCTTTTCAGAGTTATGCTCCATCAAAGTTAGAGAAAAAAACAGTTTTTGGAATTTTCCTGCTCTGACATTTTTGGTTAACAGTACACCAATATTTTTTTACTGAATATGAAAGTTCATTATTAAAACAAGCTCTGTGACCCAACACTTAATTGGATTATTGATGCTGTTAAGAAATATAACCATTTAATGCTTAAAAAAATACCAAATCTGGAATATTTGTTTAGCTTTATCTCAAAGAAACATTGTCACTCAAAAAATCTAACTATACCATATTGTAGGTAAATGTATCTACTAATACATGGAAAAGAAAAATAAATTGGATCTTGTTCTATTTATGATGGAAGAATTACTAAAGTTGCATTTAAATGCTACATTAGAAATCACATTTCTCCCCCCTCATCAGACAGTAATTATGAATCTACTCCTAGATAATAAACAAAATAAAAATATTTTTGTAAGAATTCTCTCTGTAATTATAAAAGAAAAGACGCAAAAGGCCTTATGCCAAATAAAAAAGAAAACCGATAAAAAAAAGTATGCCACTTCAAACATACTCAGATTTAATTTATAAAGAAATGACCAAAAGGGTAAATCTTGCTATTATTTAAATATTACGCAGTGATTCCGCTTGTGTGCTATAGCAATTAAAATACGCTAAAAATTTTAAAGGGGGGCAGAGAAAAGTCAGGACGCATCCTCTATGGATGTTAATTTTCCTTCAAATTCCAACAAAGAATATTTTTGCAACTTGATAGCATTATTTTTTTTATTAGAAATTAATGGTTTCCAAAATATATTGAAAATAATCTATTATTCGATTATATTTCTTTACAGGAACATGATAATTTAATTTTTTTTGTTGTTATCCTTAATAGACATAATTAATAAGAGTTAATATTTCATTTTTAACATATAAGTATTATAAATACTATTTGGTTTTCAGTAATAGTTGTTTTATCCTTATTTAAGCTAAATATTATTTTAAATGATCTATTCAGATTTATGAATTAATACATATAAAATAGGAATATAACAGATCTTTTTATCTTAAAAAAACTTACTTGATTTTAATCTTTTAAGGACAATTATAGACAATTTTGGCTATAATTCTTTGTTGAACAATTGCCAAATAAATTACTAAACACACATTTTTTCTTCATCATAAAATATTTACTCCTTAAGTACTATATCTTTAAATAGGAGATTTATATTATTTTAAATATGGACCTGCTTTTAGCAAAAAAAAGGACCCACAAATTTAGATTTCTTGAGTCCTAAGGGCCCATTGTTTCTTAAGTTTAGCGGAATCGTAGATTCCGGAATAGGGGAAAATTACAACAATTAATTTCATTTTTCCATAAATAATATATGATTCTTCTATTAAATTGTTAATAAAATCATTTTTCTTATAGAATGTTACTAGTAAAAAACAAATGGAATAAAAACAAAAGTGTACTTTTTACATCAAGTAATTAGGCAAAATATTAAAAAAACAATTTATATCTAACTGTAGTAATGCAGGAATAATTTTAAAATTACTTACTATCAGTATTGTCGGATAGCAATTGATTATTATCAATAAAACAGTTCATTGTTTCAGGTAGATCTTGTGGAGCTATGAATGATGCATCAAGGGCATTTAAGTCAGGTGCGATGCCCTTACGTGCATCTTCTATTAATTTTCGTGCTTTTGCCTTTAACATCAAATGCCTTGCATGTTCCACCTATAAAATTTTACACACAGCTGTTTACATTAACATAAACTTGTAAATTTTACTCAATAAGAAATTTTTTTTTTAAATAAAAAGTTATCTTATGTATTGAATTTTTCTACAAATTAAAATAGAGCTTTTCTTTCTTAGCAAAATTTAGTTAATCACAACAATAAATTACAAAAGAGTAACAGATACGAATGTAAAATAGAGATTTTTCTCAATAAAATAAAAATAGTTTAAATTATTCTTCTGATTGGTTCACATGAGTATCAAGCTCGCTTGGGAACTAAACAAAGGGGGTTCTGTGTTCGGCGGACCACCTAACCAGACTCTTGACCACCAACTCTTTGCCTCCTTATCTTCATCAGTCTAGAGGTTCTGGTTAGAGATAGATAATCATAGCCTTACATTAAGAATAACTTAATGAACTCCGAACAGTTAAAAAAATAGTTTATTATTCGATAACACTCGCTATTTCATAAGATGAAAGAGCCTTTTAAAAATAATCTTAATGCTGGTGCTGGTTTTCGAAGCTCTGTCACCTAGGAAAATAAAAAAGTCACAGTATAAGTGCCTTACAATTGAAGCAATGCGATGATTTTAAGCTATATATATATATATATATGAAATAACGGTGGATCCACACCGATATTTTTTAGTTAAATACAAGTCAAAGCAGCATGATTAATGAGTCCATGTTGTGCATAATCTTTTTTATTTAGTAGCGATGGTGAAAGCATACATCTCAGCCCACTCCAAGCTGGAGATGGGGGGAGACCATATCCCGTCTAAGATGACGGATTTTATTTAAGCATGATAAACAACAAAAAGCCATGCAAAAACATTGCTCCTGCATTTTATAGGATGATTAAAAGTTGCGAAGAGGCCAGTCATTATTGCTTTTTCTGTATTCTTACGCCTCATCCAAATTATTTATTACTCATAGCAAATCGTTTAATCTTTCCTTACATTGAAGCGAAAGATCTTAAAATAACTTCTCTTTTGAAATATAAATCTAATTATTATTTATTGCCATGTTTTTAGCCTTGAAGTCCCAAAATAGAATTTCTACCCTTATCCTTTACCAAAGATATTTTATGAAAACGACAGAAGTTTTAATGCTTTTATTAATACAAAAGTATTTAATTTTTGTATTACATATATATATATATATATATAAATCCTCTGGCCGGGCATGGTTGACTCAGCCTTTCATCCCTTCAGTGGGTCGATAAATGAGTACCAAACATGCTTGGGAACTAAACACTAGGGGTGTTCCGCGTTCGGCTGACCACCTGACCGGAACATCTGCTCCTGCACCCCAGAGCCCAAGGTCAAGAAAACTGAGATTGGCACAGTAGGCCTTGGCCCTCTTTAGGCTGTCGCACTACTGAGTTTAGTTGGTTCACATAATTAATCATCAAGTAAAGTCTTACTGTAATTTTTTTATATATCAATAAAGTTGTGACTAGAGATGGGCGATATATCATGAAATATTGATATTTAGAAAAATAGAAGATACCTCAGTATTATCCCATTTCTGGATACCTCCAAAATTAATCAAGTTTACTGGAAGATAGTTGCAGATTTTAATGCTTAAATTTGTTACTAAATCTGGTAACAATTGACTAAATGTTGGAATATTGTTTGCCAAATGGTGTTTAAATCATTAAAAATTATTGACTAATTGAGCATTTTGCAAAGGGCAAACTCTTAAAATGTAATTATAAGCAATAAAATGTAGTTAAAACACGCAGTGTCCTGAGATCATCATTGAAATTAATAAAGCTTATAAATTACTTAGAAATCATTGGAGTGACTAGGAAATTTCCTCAGACGGAAGTTAATTGCTATATTTAAAGATTGAATTAACACTTTTGAAGAATTTGTAAGTTTTTTTTCCACATTTCTATGCAATATTTTTAATATTATAATAAAGTCAAGCTCTCATTACTCATAATTTTTTTAAACAATTGTAAATTTTTTTAAACCATAATAAATTAAATTAAACTTATTAGTCCGATATTTTACACTTTTAACTGTTGCCAAATACTCATGTTTCCATACACCAATTTCATAGGTGTGCAAAAATATTTTGATTTGTAAATTTCTTATAGGAAGTAATTGCATAATAATAAAAATTATCAAAGTAGACAAAAGAAATGTATAGATTTAGATTTTGTTACAGCTGTAAAATAGCTTTGAATCTAATTAATAATTTTTTCTATTATAGTTATTTGAAACTGAAAATGATAAAATTAATTGTAGGAAGAGACTCACCCTAAAAATCCCCTTTCTAGATATGCTAATGGTTACAGCATCATAGAATAATTGATGAACAACTCAAAGGCAGTCTAATTACATTTTTCTTACTCTGCCACAAATGTATGATTTCAATATTAAAAAACTCATGCATAGAGTATTCCATATGTAAATTTAAATTGTCTTAAAATAGGTGTAATTTGTTTTATTGCATTATTTATCTATAAATCCCTTAGTGTAATATAAATAAAATTTATCTATTAATACTAGCGTCGACAAATAACGAACAAAAAAAGAAAAATTTTAACTAAAAAAAAAAGGGAAATTACCAAATTCTACTATAGCTAAACTAATTGTTTACACTCTTTAGCTTTAGGGTTGCTGCTAAAAACAATGCTAGAAATTGGCAATACAGTCTTTAGAGTTGGCGACTACTTGGACAACTGTAGCTTATAAGAAAAATCACAATTTATTATTAGATAAATAAATTATGATTAAAAGTAAAATGCTTGTTGAATTTAGCAATACAAATATTTTGTTTGAAAACATGAAGGTTTATTAAAACTAGCAAGCTTTAAGGCGGATTAGTAGTGCAATCTTTGAGAGTAATAATTAATGACAGTTCCATACTGCTTACAATTGACTTTTTAAAAAATGGGGAAAAATTTTGCTTGATGATAATTTGGAACTAACTTAATAATTCAAAACTTAATAATTCAGTAATGTAATAACTACCTAACAATATTTTCTGAAAGTTTCAAAATGATTTATTTAGCAGGAGTTTTAAAATCATGATTTTTTTGAAACCATATCAAAAAAGGTCATGATCTTTACTTTTAAATTGAATCAAAAAATATTTTTAAGAGTGAGGCATTTTTTTTCCACTTAAAATGGAAAATATATTAATTTTTATTTTAACGTAATTAACATTTCTTTAAGTACATTATCAATTTGGAAGTGACTTCAAAGTAATTTACTTGTTTTGTAATTCACATTTCCTATAGCTCATTTTAATCTGGAGAAATAAAACTATTTCCCTATTATTGTGTAAACGTTAAAAAGCAATGTTTTTGCATGAAACTGTTGAATCTCAAGATTTATTCAAGACATTTGGAAAAAAGATCCTTCAGAAAATTCAATCAACTTTACCTTATTACTATTGTTTGCCAATACATCATTTCTAGTCATTTCTAGAAAAGACTTGACCCTTTCTTTTGAAACTTCTTTCTGAGAATCCTACAATTAAAAATAATAAAGGTTAATAGGAAGAAGCCATACGTTTTTACGATATTTCCCAAAGTTGAGGTTATGTGAAACATACTTCTGCATATTCAACCACTTAACTGTTACATTTTCTTGCCATATTGTGATAAAAAAAATAAGCATGCTTTTTTTAAGCAATTTTGTATTCTAATCAACAATATGAATTCAAATCAGCACTTAAATTCACCATAAATATTGCATTTATTAATTTCTGATGATTTTCAATTATGACAAGAATAAGGCATTTTAACTTAAAGTTGTCTTTTTTCTGAAGGAGCTGTAGAGACATTTTACAGGGAATAAATGAAGAAAGAAAAGATGTGTTTTTTGAATTCTTACCTTTGAAACAAAACATGACATTCCTTTTTTAACAAAATGTAGTTTCTTGCAATGGTATATTTTAAAACATGGGAGATATAAGAACTATATTCTATTATGAGCAACTTACAGTCCTCCGTAATTTTTTTAATTTCTTGACAAAATTGGGAAGAAATACTATTGGTTAAAGCTCATACATTGAACAAGTGAAAAAAAAACGAGCAATTAAAAAAGTTCCCTTTCCCGGCATCTGAACCATGTTCAAGCATAACAGTTAGGTGGCTAAAGTTTTTTTTTATTCAAAAACAAAAGGTTTTTTTTTTTGCTTAATAAGCATGTTTAGTTGATTAAGAGAGTATAAACAAAGTATTTGTACATACAAAATTTTTCTGAAATAAGAATGTAGAGAAGACAAATCTAAATGTAAACAAAATATTTATTCATCTCTTTACATATTAACGAAATGAAGGAAGCTGTTGTTTTTAGCTCAATCCTTGAATCCCTTATAGTTTTATAATGCAGAAAAAAAATTATAATTTAACATCTATAAATTTATTACAAAGATAGTTATTCTAAAAAAAGAAAAAAGTACAAAAATCATAACATAGAATATTTACTATATATATGGAATAACCTATTGTTTTTAGCTCATTTTTAAACCATTACAATTTCAGTAAGCAGAAAAATTATTTATTTAATACTTTTCAATTTTTCTTAAAAGATGGTTATTTTAGAAAGAATAAGGTTGTAAATTATGTCAAGCACAACATTTATCTCTCATATACAGAGCGATCATAATGACCGTCCTTAATCTATTTAAATTTTCAAAATCTTTGTGATATATGAAACAAAACTATATTGACATCAGGGTCAAAAATTAATATTAATGGGAAAAAAATGATTATCAAACTCTGACTACCAATGAAAGCAAAGGAAAAATATAAAAATCTAAAAACTAGTTAATTTCAGGATTAAAAAGAAAAATTAAACTTGATGATTGTATATGTATTGCATTCACATTTCATCATAAATGTACTAATTTTTGACAACTTTACTCAGATTAGCCTCAAATTGATAGGACATAATCAGATAAAAAATTTTCTCACTTATATATTAATTTGTGACCCTTAAAATATAATTTTTTACTTCATTTTCTATTAAGTTTATAAAAAAAACATAGATTTAACATTATAAACCATTAGAACATTATCAAACATTAGGAGACATTAAAGAAAACACTGCATAACTTCATTAGAACATCTTACCTCCATTGAAGGGCCTTCTAAATTTTGTCATGTTTTTAGCAGTAATGTTAGTTTCAGTTGTTAAAAGAAAATTTTTAAAGAGTTTTATTTGTTTAACATAAGCTGCTTTCTTTGTGTATTTTAACTCAGAAAATAAAATTTGAGTTAACAAAACATCTATTAAAGTGACAAAACTTTTTTATGCTGATTTAGAAATAAGCATGGTTTTATCTTTCTTTCAGGGTATCAGGAGAAAGTTTAGAATAGCTAATTTTTTATTAGCTCAAATTACTTAAGATTTTTAATGATTTTACCATAAGAATTAGAATGGTTTTTCCTGAATACAGACAAACTTAATTTTGAATAGGATAAAATATTGATTTTTGAAAACTAATAATTGTAGCATGTTTAAGATATTATAGGAAACATGATACTTTCATTTAAAGACAATCATTATGAAACACCCAAATAAATAACAAATGAAGGATCTTACCTTAGCTTCATTGAAGTAGTTTTTTTGAGAAAATTCCTTAGATGGTGAAAGATCCAGAATTTGTGGAACTTCGTCATCTGATAAATTAGTTTTAACTAAACTTTCTGTTTTCTCTATGTCAACAATTTCATCAGCAATTATAGGTTCTAAATTATCAACAGATTCATTTGTAAATTGTTTGGCAGAGGATTTTAGTGCTAAAGATTCCTCATCTTCGTCACTATCAGAAGAATCAAATGGATTTAAAAGCTGTTTTCTGGTCATTAATATTGGCACAGGTTTTACATTAGCAATTTTACTATTACATTCTGCTGGTACTATATTCGAATTAATGGGTTTTACATTTGGCTTTTCAAAAATATGAATATTTTTTAATGTATTGTTAGACATGAAATTTGGGATAGGTAATGACCACCCCCGTTTCTTTTTATTTTTGGAAACATATAAAGGAGTTAAGTCTTTATTTTCCTTCACATTTTTCATTTCTAAGGATAACATTAGATTTTTATTAAGTTTTTCTTTGGAACCATAAAATGGAACAGATTCTTTATTTTTGTTAGTATCTTTTACATTTAACATTATGTCTGTATTTAGTTTTTCTATGGATCCATGAAATGGAAGAGATTCTTTATTTTCTTTAGCATCTTTCACTTCTAACATTTCATTTATGTTTATTTTTTCTTTGGCACCATGTAAAGAAATTGATTCGTTATTTTTTTCAAAATTTTTCACTTTTAATTTTAGATTTGTATTCAGTTTTTCTTTGGAACCATATAGAGGTATTAATTCTTTATTTTCTTCAGCATCTTTCACTTGTAACATTAGATTTGCACTCAATTTTTTATATGTTGATGGAAAATCCTTTGAAGTAGTAAAATAAGCCTTCATTTGGTATAAATAAGTCATAACTGACAACTTATCTGGTACAGCTAATGCGACCATATCACCCGGATTGATTACGTTAGGAATACCAAGAGATGCAGCAGCATTGAAAGCCTATAAAGAACATATTAATAAAAATAAAAGAATTATTTATAATCATACATTATAATTACTTTTTATTTAATTATACATTTATGAATCCAGTTTGAAGAAAATAAGGCATTTTTTTACATTCTTTCTAATCAGCTAATGAAAATTTAATTAAATCCTCAAAAAAAAAAAAGCTTTACTTCTTATTTTACTATAATATGTACATTTTGATAAAAATGTTTTGGTTTATTTTTTTAGACACTTAAAAATTTGCTTGGTGATTACTTGTAGGTAAACTATTGTAAATGTAAAATGTTTTCTCCCTTAGCTAGAAATAAAGCTTTAAACCTTATACTAATGAAACTTTATTAATGATCATAAAATAAATATTCTTCCCTATTAGCATAGTCAATGAAGGCCAAAACTGAGGATACATGGAAAGAAATTAGGGAGAAGCTGATTTTTCTACAGTTGCTAAAACTCACTTAAAAGAAAATTTTCTCCTAAGTCTCTACCCTCCCGCACATGTTTTTGTACTTATCTCCTTTAAACATCAATATTGATCAATCACATTAATATAACCATCACTAAATATATCATTTGACAATCTTTTGCTCTTAATATAGCCTTAATTTCTTTTGGAATAGATTCTAAGAGATGTCATCTCTGTCATTAGACGCAGAAATACTGTATTACCTTTTCACAATTTTCTTTAATATTATGAGGATTCAAAGATTCAAAATCAATCAATGCTGGTGCAAAGTGATGGATCACAGCACAAAATGCTAGGCCGTTTCTCCAAGAAGTAGTGAAATTTGTTATGATGATTCCATTATAGTCTTTTGTAACACTTTTACACCAAGCCAAAAGATCATTAACTTCGTCACAATGAGTCCTAAAAATTTTTTAACCAATATTAATCTTAATAAAATTGCCTATTTACTTATTTTTCAAGAAATGCAATTAATATTAACAAACATTCAAAATATAAAAGGAAAATATGTAAATATGGAAAATGATACACAGTAGATCTTTGTTTTTAATTTTTAAGTTCTATATAGTAGTGTAGATGTTACTAATGAGCTGGAGTCTGACTTATAGCTGTATTGTGAACTTTTTTTGAACTGTGATCAGGAAACCGGTTGAGCTAGTTTCAAATCTAGATTTTATATTCTTAACTATTCAAACCTCGGTCATAATATAAACCATAGTTGAGTGATCTCTGAAATTTTGAACCACCGACATTCACAACATGTTTGATCTTAGTTTGAACATAAGAATCAATAAATGCAAATGTTGTAGAAATAACTTAATTTATGAATAGGATTTCCTTTCTTATATTAAATAAATTATACTTTAAAGTAATTGGAAAAAATTAAAAGGAGAAATTTAAATTAAATTAAAAATTAATCACAGTAAAAATAATACAAGAAGTGCATAAACAAGAAAAAGTAAATCAAACTATCATTTAATTTATATGTGATTATTCAAAACATTAAAAGCAACAAAAAAGTAAACCTACAAAAATATAAAGTAGAAACAGAAACTAAACAAAGCGGCAAAAGCAGCTAGATGAAATTGTTTTGATAGAAAGTTAAAAAACAAGAAATGAGAAATATTATAATGCAAGCAACTTCTTTGTGCAGTGGCCTGTTAAATATGAGGAATTACTAATATACCAAATTATTTGTCAGTTTATGTAAACAATAGCTTAATAAGAAACATATAATTCTCTTTGTTAATAATGATAAAATACTTAGTTACTAATTAGGCTTACTATTAAATATTTCAAACAATGATTCCGGTATAAGGCAGTATGGAGTTAATTAAAATGATGGCCAACAACCTAAGCAAACATCTGCATAATGTGGGAAAACCAATCAGAAAGTTGTTCAATACCCAGATCGAAATTCTAGTAGAGAAACACTAGTTTGAAGAACTATGGTTCCAAAAACTGTTGAGAATATGGGTCACTGAAGCCAATCTTCATTCGAGACTTTCGAACCCGGATTAGAACTTCAGATATGAAAAAGTTTAGATTTAGATAATTTTTTAAAAATATAGTGGGTATGTGGCCAAAACTAGCCCAGTAACAATATTAAGTTTGCCATCATTAAGGGGAAACCATGAAATTAGTAATGAAGTTTTGAAAAAGATATTCGAAAACTCATAGCTTAACAATTCCAATTTTAAATTTTCAGAACGGAAATTTCTGATAGCGACTTTTTATCTTAAATGATTTTTTTAACATGGAAAGGTAAACCACTGAATTTGCAAATATATTTTTAGAAACTTTGCCATCAGAGTGGTATTTAAACAAAACAAAAAAAAGTTCTTTTAACGATTGACTAAATACAAACAATAGCATGTATAAGATAAAATTAATTGTCTAAATATTGTTTTATGTTTTTTTTCAAACATTAAGCTGGAAAACAAAAACAGATTCTCCTTATATCATTTAATGTTAGCAGGAAAACTTCTCTTTAATTTTATCTAAGGACTCACTGTTAAGGTTAAATCATAAATAGCACAAAAACAAATAAATATGGTTACCTTATAGGTTCTGTTTGAGGTTCTTCAATAATTAGCTGTGCATTATCATTCGGAGGAAAGTTAAGAGCACTTTGTTCATCAATCACAGTTTGATCATCAATTTCAGAAGTTAATTCTAAAATACAAAAAGTAAAAATATTTTACAAGGCATAGAAATACAAAATGCAGCCAAAAGTAAATAAGAATTGTTTAATTGAAATTTATTAATTATACTTTTTACTAGCATACCACATTTTTTTGAAGTACCCTAACAATGCAATACAATTCAATCAGATCCATTTCCTAACAAACATTTTTTTCAAGAATTATCTTTGAAATGAGATTATTTTCTATTGACAAATCATTACACAAGTTCTACAAGCTAAATTTTGCTTATTATTTTCACACAATTTTTGAATATTAGGTAATGAATTAGGTATTAAAATATAAGAAAATTTTCCATAGTATTCAAATACACACAAATACTTTCTTAACAAATCTTTAATGGTGAAAAAGCTAATCACTTTTTTTTAAGGAAATAGGAACTACCATCAAATGTTCTTTGACAACCAGAAGCACATTTAATCTGTAGAGAGCATTATGCACAGAAAATATCTTATGATACAAGAAACCCTTCAGTATGTGAAAAATTTAGACGATAATAAACTTTCAGATGATGATGAAATTTTTTTCTTCCTTTTTTTGTCTGAAACTTAATTTTTTTTTGAGAAATGTCCCTAATGTTCTTATAAAAAATATGTGAACTATGTATGTCAAACAGAACAGTTGTCAAAAGAAGTTAATGATGTAAGATTCAATACAATAAATTTAAAGAGACATAGTATAAAGTGGTAAAGTAAGCAAGATATAAATATATAAAAATGCTAATTTTTAAGCAAAATTAACTTAAATAAAGAGAGTTCATACTTATATCACACAAAATAATGACTTGAAAAATAAATAATTTTAAAACATTCAAAGTGGTATAAGTTTTACTTTTAGTACATATTCTTTCTTAATTTGCTCTTTTATATTTATGTGTTGTACTATGCATTAACTATAAAATGTTCCACATATCTTATCAGTAAAAAAAAGAGTAAGAGGGTTTCATGGGATGAAAATGCATGAAGTGTGCATGGGATGAAAACAGGTTTAGATGCTTACCTACCCACCGTTCAAAGCCAAAGCTCCTATTTCAGGAACACACTGTAAAAGTAAAACTGTTTACAGCAAATTTTTACATCACTTTAAAGAATGTAAATTTATATGGCAAAATTTGAATTAAATCTGTCAAATAGTTCCTGAGAAAAAAGTCAGATATTAAAAATTCCATTTCACAAGTACTACTCGATCATTTTTGTTCAAATTTTGTACTTTGCCATACAAAAAAAAAATTCTTTAAAATGACTAAAAAATTTGTATACCTTGAAGTTCAAAAATTTTTCGACTTATTAAATAAAATGAAAAATAAATAATAGCTAAAAGTTATTTTTTGAAAGGACCTATCTTTGGATAAAAAATTTTTTTAACTGTGTGCAAACATTTTTCAATTCGCCTAAAAAAATCTTAAGATATAGCTAAATACGCAAAAAGTACAATTATCATTAAGGGTTCCGGTATACTCCGTATTAATAAATGTTGGAATAATAGAAAAACGCACAAGCATCAAATCTGAATTCATATAAAAAGTTAGAGTTGTACAGAGCGCATTCTGAAAGTAATGTGCTTGATTTTACTGTGACGCGACTATTGATCGCAGCGCACTCAGATTGGTCAAAAAATGTGGTGGGGAATTTGTCCTTCCAAACAAGACTGGTCTCAGGTTGCTCCGAGCAGTAGGAGCGGTAGGACCTGTCTTCGCGCTAAGTCTTTTTTTGATTGAGTCATGGAGTGTTCGTTCGCTGGAACAGCGGTACGCGATAAAGTTTTGTGTGCGACTTGGGAAGAATGCATTTCGAAATCTCAGTGTGGAAGGTAGCACAAGGCCTCCAAGGAGGGTGGAGAGAAGGCCACCAACGAGCCTTGTTCTGGACGCCCAACAACAGCCCGACCCGATGAAAACGTTCAGCATTTGTGTGAAGTTTTGAAGTCAGACAGTCGGTTAAGCATTCGGGTAATCACTAACACCCTAAACTTGTCAAAATGCATGGTACATAGGATTGTGATGGAGGATTTGCAAATGCGAAAGGTCTGTGCGAAGCTTGTGTCGAAGGTGTTGACGGTGGAGCAAAAAGAAGTTCGAGTTTTGGGCATTGAAGAATTGCTGGAATTGATGAGTTGGCGCCCCAGCATCCCTATGGCCCTGACTTGGCGCCGTGTGACTTTTTTTTGCTCCCCCCAACTGAAAAGAGAGCTGAAGGGAAAGCACTGGGAGTCAGTGGAGAACAAATAAGCTCATGTCACAAGGTTCCTGAGAGGCATTCCTGTCAAGGAGTTCCAGGGTGCCCTCCAGACGTGGTAAAATCGTCGCTGCAAGTGTATTGATGCACAAGGGAACTATTTTGAAGAATTTTAACCATTTGTACCCATAGGATCAATAAATCCATTTTTCCCAGAAAATGTGCATTACTTAACATCAAAATATTCATGAAATACAAAATAATAGAAATGAATGTAAATAGAGTTAATTTGCAATTCAGTATGTTGCTTATAAAAGATATTTGATTTAATATAGTAGGGAACCAATTAGCCAGAATGCTGAGGACCATCGCTATCCCAGATGTCAGAATTTCTAGTTTTCAGGATCGCTAAAAATGATTTAATACAACTTAACTACATTTCTACTTCAATATTAAATAAAAAAGCTGTATTTTTGCCGTTTAAGTATTCCAATTAAAAATTTGTTCATTCGTTCACTTCATTCTTTTTACTTTATTGTATTCATATAGTAAAGCATAGCGATGCCTTTTTCTTGCAATTTCCCGACCACCTTCAGTTTGCTGATATTTTCTCATAGTAAGTAGGGGCGAAAAATTAAATCAATCATTCATTTTATCTGATTTTGTTTATAAGATGCTGATTTCGCTTTCAAATAAAAAAATATACATAAAAAAAGGGAAAAAATCCTCTATTCTACCCTGTAAACAATCTGGCAGCACGTGATTGAGTTTGATTCTTTCTCTGTTTTGCGCTGTCACACTTTGCTCGCGATTATGTCATTCAGACAGTTGTTAGTTTTTTTACCCAGCAGAGACAGCTTTGGTATTCAGTTTGAAAACTCGCCGTTACGTATATTATCCATTTTAGGAGACATCATGGAATTTAAAGCATAAGCTTTTGGTGTGTTTTGTTAAATCATGGTTTTGTTTAAAGATAGTAATTTCGGAGTTCAGCTCTTTTTTTTTAAAAAAAAAATGAATTCAATATTTTAAGAAATAAAAATGAAAACTTTTATTAAATTTAGTGATTTTCGAACAAATTTTATCAGAATTAGGTGGCTATGAAAGAGTTGAAACTATTTAGAAGAGTCAATAATTTGCTTACAGAAAATTTTTTAATCGAGATTTGTTTAATTTAATTTTATTTAAGTCTGCACTTCTTTTCGTTCAATCGAGCAGAAAAAAAATCTCCCCCCACCTTTCCATCTACTCAGCTTCAAGGATGACTCAGTCGTTCTAGTTAAAAAATAACGGGGAAAGGGACCAAAGTTTTTCCCGGTTTCCTGGAAACCAGATAAAAAGTTGTATACTGTACAGCTAACTACACTCCTACTTAATTACTGATTAAAAAGAACCGTATTTTAATCATTTTTATATTTAAATTAAAAACTAGTATTTGAACTTCACTATTTTTACTTTTATATTTACATAGTGATGTGTAGCGTAGTATTTTTTTTTATGACCCTTCTACCTTCTATTCACTGATAAGCATGTGTAATGCATTTTCCCCTTATAAACCGCAGATCTCACACCTTTCCTTCTACTCAACTTCAAGGATGACTCGAATTTCGGCAGTTTGCAATCATTCTAGTTCAAAATGGTGGGAAATCAAGGAATTTTTCTTAACTATTTTCATATCTTTTTGTACTCAAAATAATCTTGATTTTAAAATGTTCATCACAATCCACTTTTGTTTGAATTAATTTTGATATGGCTTTGGCTTTTATTCAATTTCAATTCACTCTTCATATAACATAAAGAAAAGTTTTCATTTCTTAAATATTAATCTGAATATTTAGCTCATAACATGCACTATCTTATAAAAATTAATGCAAAATTATTGATTGTTTCTTCTTCTCAATTTCAATATTCTTCCATACAATATTTGAGTTAAAAATAATTTTTCATATTTTCAAAAGTACGCAAATTTAATCTCCTGTAATATTAAGTAGGAAAAAAGTGTCAGTTTTTTTTTAATCACTACACCTCCATAGTAACTTTTTTAGCATTTTAACTGTGGGCAAAATTGCACAAAATATTTGTTTCCATGCCCTACTTTTTCACAGAGTAACATAGGAAAAACAGATTTGTGGTAGGAAAGTCATCAGTTTAGAATCAGAAAAAGGTGGGAGTAATGCTCAGAGAACCAATGATGAAAATCTTACCATTTTTGATGTCTGTTCCTTGAGTTAATAATTCCAATTGTGAAACAAGATTAACTATTTCAAGAGTAGTCTCTTCTTCTTTATTAAAATCACTGAGATTTCCAACGTCAATTGAACAAGTGCTTTCATTCATTAAACTAGCCAAACTTATCATGTCTTCATCACTAAGAAAACATAAAAATATTATTAGGCATTACAAAAAAAGAGATATTTATTATATAAAAAATTGTTCGAAGCTTTGCCCTTGCGAAAGGATCATACACAAAATACCTTCAATTGAAAGGGGACATATAGAAAAATTTTACAAAAGTGAACGAAGCTGAGAACACTGAGAAGTTTATTATTACAAAACTTTGAGTAATCAAAGACAATGCTCCACAAATAAGGTCAATAAATTTTGCCTGAGCAAAAAGTAAAATCTAGTACCCTTTTCATTTAAATACAGAATTTTGAACCAATTGAAAATTCAGTTGACTATGTAATGTGAAAATTGTAAGATACTTTTCAGGATGACTTGTGCAATACACATTGCATGTTATTTCTATGTGAAATTTTTTTTCAAAATCTTGGAAAAAATGCTCTGTATTAAATTTTTTTCTAAGGAATCGAATTAAAAGTTGGGTTTTCAATAGAAAATTTCCATACAGTTTTTGTTGAAATTAATTTCTGAAGTGCTTTTTTTTTTAATTGTTTGGCTTAAGCAATTTTTTCAAATAATGTAATGAGGAACAAAACCCATTTTTAAATTTAGAAGCAGTACACTACTTAATAAATTATTTGAATTATTTATTTCAGGTTTTCAAAGTGAAACTCAAATAACTTTTTTAAAGTTCAAAAAGCTGAAGAAAATTCTTCTCAACTTGTGATTCAAAATTTTTGTGTAGAGCAACAAACATATGAAAGAGATTTTTGGAATTTAATTTTTAAGGGAAATTTCCATTCTGTTGTTGGGTAACTGAGAAGATTTGAAAATTCTTCGATTTTATACAGATTGTCTATGAAGAAATTTTTCCTGAACACTCATGAGTCTATCTTTGTCAGTAAATTGATTTTAATCTACTTGGTTAAAATCAACACACCTAAGCAACAGATATCTGGATATGGATAATGACTAACAAAACTAGTCAAAGAATGTTTCTCTTATTGACCACAAGCCATGATATGTCTAGGTCTTTCAACGGACAGCCTGCACATGCTCCCCCCCCTAAAATGCCTTGTTATGAAGAATCATGTTTTTGTTTACCATTCAGTTTAGAATCATTGGAAATATCCTTGACTTGTTTTTCTCTTTTTGTTTGTCTACCAGATGAAATAATCGGAAATCAGATCAGAATCATCTTTGAAAGGCGTAATGAAGGACATGGGAGATTCTTTTGGAAACTTTTTACTTAAGCACAACTGAATGGTAATTTTTCCAGACAAAATTCATTTTTAAATTTGAAAAATATTTCATGTAACAAGATTATGCTACATTTTACATTTTCAAATTCATGACTTTTCATGACTAATTCCAAGAATTTTTCATGACTTAACGAAATTACTATTTTCTCCGACAAAAACACAGCAATAAATTTAAAAAAGCCTTATAATAACACCCATTAAAATGATAGGTACAATCAAAACTGTAGTACTCTGCATTATCATATTTATAGATTTTAAATTTAAAAAGCAGAGTAAAAAAAGAGTTGAAGCAGTAAAATAGCTGAAAAAAATACAAAAGGAAATAATTTTTTTTCTTTTTTTCTGCAGAATTACATTCTAAAGATACTTTTCCTGTTCATCGGAAAGGAAAGAAATACTCCTGATTTTTCTGTTCTCATTTCGGAATAAAAAAATTAGCCAATGACTGGCTTGGGTATTAGCCAATGACTGACTGCTTCAGCTAAAATTTCAAATTGATAAAAATAAATAAATAATAATAATAACAAAAATTCTGAAATCACAGAAGTTTAAAAGATAATTCGCTCTAGAAATGATGTTTTTTCTTTCATTTTTTGAAAGAACACCATAATTTTTAAAGAACATGATAAAAACATTTTATATTTTAATCAAACATGACTGTGAGTGGGGATTTTGTTACAAATTCATATATTTGGAACACTATGAAATTGGGGGAAAGAGGGCACATTCCATTTTAAAAATTATATTTTTCGGAGACCTACATTCATGACTTTTCATGATTTTTTTAAAAAAAATAGTTAAAAGCATGACATTTCATGACAAATTTTGTTCAATAGCGAAATTCATGACTTTCCATGATTTTTCATGACTTTCCAGGTGCACTGATACCCTGAAGATTTCAAGAATAAACATCAGGTGGATATGCAATGTGATAGAGAAAAATATTTTTTGACATAAAATAGTTTTTGAGACATCAAAGTTAGACTGTGATTGCAGATTTGTGATTATGACAGAAGTTAAAATACAATATTTCTGTTGCGCATATGGATCAAACTTCAGCAAGAAGATAAGCTGTTTTGCCAACCACACAAAGCCTTACTTTCGAAGTTATTATGCAATTAGATAACTAAAAAACGATAAAGAAATTGGCAAAAAAGACTCTTTGGTTTGCATAACAAGGTAAGTTTTTTTGTGCTTTTAGAAAGCTTCATTATGACTCATTTTGTTGTTCCAGTTTACCCTGTTTCAGAATTTACAAGGTGTGTTCTGAAAGTACAGGGAATGGCTTCATAAAATAAATAATGAGGATATACAAACAAAATACTTTTAGTGACATTCAAAGTATAAATAATATTATCCATAGTACACTTTTGACATTTGTTGTACAGCTGCTAAGAACTGTTAACAAATACTTCTTTCAGTAATGCTTGAAGAATCATTAGCACACAACACTGTTGTCATATGCAACACTGCTCCTTTCCATTGCAAAAGCTTTTAAACCACTTAACTATCTTAACTTTTAACAACTGCCTCCAACACACACTTCCACTAACACTCAAACCATCATTAATGTTATTTTACATATCTTGAAAGAAAAATTCTTATTTAGGCATAAATCTATTTCGTAGTGACAGGTCTCTTCTAACCTCATATTCAAATTACCTACATGTTCATAAGTTATATAATTAGAGTGGCTATTCAAGTATGGGCCCATTTATTGAATACTTAAAACACACATTATATTCCTTAAAAGTCAAATAATGTTAAAATACATTTTAAAATTGTGTTTGAAGTTTATACACATTAACAAAGCTTTAGATAAATACTCTAAAAGTGGCATATTCAAAATTCTAAGCAAGTTTAATGAATTTTTTGAAATTTTAGAAACTAATGCAATTAATTAAATAATAAAACACTTGAAACAGAAAGTTAATTCAACATACGTTGCACGGCCTTCTTTAATAAATTCAGAGGATATTGTGAGTTTTAAAACTGCTTCAATAACAACTTTTGATGTAGGCTTCAATTTAACTTTAATTGGCTGTGGAAATACATTTGCATACAGTGCCATGTTTATTTTGGCTGATGCTAGTGATCGGCCTGGTTTAGATACCTATAACAAAATAAACAATCATTATTCATACTTCTTTTTCTGTGCTTCTTTAAAGACATTAAATATGCCACAATAATTTTGAAAAAAATTTTGTGACATGTATTGTGTGAAAAATATTGTGAAGCTGATAAAGCATAATAACACAAGCCTTTGGAACATGTTTTCCAAATTATTAACAATTAAACAAGATTAATTACAAATTAAACTGCAATAACAGTTTAAATTTAATGCAAAAATATTAAATAATTTATGAATTAAACTAAAATATATTATTTTATACATATATTCAGAAATATCCTGTTAAGTTATATTTTTAAAAAAAAGTGAGAAAATGAAATACAGTGTAACGTCCCATATCCGGACGTCCCTTTTCCGGAAGGGTCAATTTCCCGGACACTTTTTAACAATCAAAATAAACAAACATCTCTTATCTTCCCCTCTCCTTCAAAAAAAAAAAAATTTTTAAAAAAATAATAAAAATAAAAAAAGGTCTTTAGACAAATTTTTTCTTTCCCTAGCTTCTAGTGATTCATGCATTGAACCCATAAATCAACAGAAAGGGAAAGGGAAAACCTCCCAAGACGGTCTGCTCAGGAATGCAGGAAAGGAGGGAGATTTGTTTTCAAAATAGCACAACTGAGTCCCCTCCCCCCTTCTTTCCTATGCAGCAGCTGGATAGTAAAAGAGGCATTTCCTGGAACCTTTTTATTAGAGTGTTAAGGAAAGACGAAATACTATGAAAAAGGGTAAACACAGTAGAAGTTAACATGGAGGGGGAGTCACTTTCAGTCAGACAAGAAAAAATAAAGGGAACCCAATCAGCATGCCGCACCTTTATGCTTGATTGATAGCCAATGATGGGAGAGAAAATAAGAATTTGTCACTGCCCCGCCCTCAACTTGAATGACAAATAAGGAGGAAATGAATTTTCTTCCACACCTACCCACCTTAATGAATGACAGGAATTTCCCCTTCTTGCTTGAATTGTTTCAGTTCAAAATGGCGGAGAGAGGAGTTAATATTTTCATAACTGTCAAATTTTTTTTCGCCTTCTATGTTTTAAGCAATTATTATTTTTTTCCAATATTTTTTGATTGATTAGATCTCATTCTAATACTAAAACATTATTTCTCGAAAAATAATGTTTATTTATTTTTTGCTTCTTAGCTTTTATTGGATCATTTTAAGCTTTGTTAACCTTGGGGATCTATTATACGGAAAAATCTAACATCCGGACTTCCAAAAGTCCCACCGATTCCGGATACTTTCCACTGTATAACCAAGAGTGCTACTTGCTTCTGAATTTATTTAATCGACAAGAAGCAGCTGAAAACTTAATAGAATGAATTGATAAACATATGTTAAGGGCAGAGGAAACAAAGGAAAACTTTTTTAAAAAAAAGAAGGAAAAAAATTATATTGTAAAAAAACATTAACAAATGACACTTCGGTTTTGAATTCTTATTAACAGCCAATCTGAAATTTTATATTATGTTAATATATATATATATTTATTAGGCTTAATACTTCTCAATCAGAACTTCATGTTTCTAATTAAAAAAGTAATTCAATAACTTTTAATGATGCAAACATTACTTGAGAAAAAATTTACTGGTGAACGAAACCTGACTTCACCATTTTAAAAATTCCCTGATTATCAAAGAATTATTGATCACATGGAGAATTATTGATCAGGAGTTTTAAAACTAAATAAAAAAAATTTCAGAATAACAGTTTTAAAATTTGTTACCACAGGATTTTAGTCTCCAATTTCATTCCTGTTAATGTTAAAATAAGATGAATCAAAAGCAATAATATTACTATACCTGAACTTTTTTCTATATTGTTAAATGACCTTTATGATATTTTAATGAATGTAATAATAGAATTCGTCTCTACACCTATCCTCCTAGTGAACTTTTGATCGCATGAAAGAAATTTCATTGCACTATGTATAGTTTCAGTTTTTGTTTTATATTTAGGAAGTCTTAATTATGAGTACATTATTCTATTAAAATTAAGTTATTCAAAGTATCTTGCTTTAAATTATTTTACCAAATAAACACTTTTAAACTTCTGCAGTTTCACTAAATGTAGCATTGAACTACTTTTTGTTCATTAAATATTCAAACACTTTTATAACCTCTTTTACTGAAAGTGTCTCATAATTTTTGCACATGCTCTGATTTGGAAGTCTAGTTTCTTTCTTAAATACTCAAACGTTCATTATTCATGCTCAAGACTTAAAAATTTCAAGAACAAAAATGGTTTTCTAAGCATTTCACTATACTTAATCTTATGACTAATTGTATATTTCATAATCAGCCAAAACTTCACTTTCTACAATTCTAACATAACTTCAATACAATCAACAATTGGGAGGCTAAAATAAACAGACAGCATTTTTCTCATGCATATAAGTGTTAGTTTTTGCAGCTTTTATACTACCTTTACATAACAATTCATGAATCTATTATCATGACAGAATTCCAACGCATTATTTATTAGATATATCAGATTTTGCACTCAAGAGCTTTTTTGCACTAGTTAGAATTGCAAAATTTTATTTAACACATCCTATTTGTTCTAAAGTGGAAAACTTGTTTCAAATCTAGAGGAACTCTCAGTTATTGATGGAAAAAATAACAGAGATTTTATTGGCATTGGACTACCTCTTTGTCTTATTTATTTTTTGTAACAAAATTTGCCATAAATTCTTATTAGAAGCTATTTTTTTAAATTTAAACAACTAATAAAATTCCTAACTGAACTTTTATACAATTATGGTGAACATCAGAAGAAAAAAAACCGGGTTTATAGTTGTGGTATATGTCATAGCTTCATTTCATTGGGAAGCTTGATATTCTTGAAGATTTTTTAAATAGACTGAATTAAATTCGTTTGTAGAGCAATTAATATTTAACTTTTCACATTGCAATAGAAAAATTTTGTTTTGGTGTTATACTTAGCAAGTTTTTCATTATTATTTTGTAAATTTTATAGTTTCACAAATACATAAATCTAAATTATAACATTGTATTAACTTGTATACAGAATTATTTAAAGAAAACAAAAAGCAGATTCTGCAGCATTTCTTTGTGCACAATTTGCTGCTCTTGATTTTTCATGGAATTATTTGTCATGAGAAAAATTTGTCAAAGCAACAGTTCATGCTGGGCACAATTCATCAAGGTGTTAGTTCATTGGGTGAATTTTCGTGTGAAGACTTTTGATCTTTGAAAGAAAACACAAAACATATCTAAATATTCTTCTCAAAATATTAATAAATGTAAATTTTGTTTTATGCAAAGTTACAATTTTTATTTAAATTTAATTTTATAATTATATTACAATAGTAATAGCCTAAGTAAAAGCAAAAAACAAAGAGGGATATAAGGACACTCTTAGATAATCACAGAAGGGTTTTTCTGATATGCTTATTTTTGCTGAAGGGGGGATTTCTTGTGAAGGCTCATAATTTTATGACAGCTTTAGCAACTTTCTCTTTTTGAAAAAATTGAAACAAAATAAAGAAAGTTTTTTTAAAAATTGCTAAATTTATATGTCAGAGAGTAATAAAGTTTAAAAAATTTAATTTGGGTAATTTAATTTTGGGAACATTTTCAACAAAGGGGGTGGGTAGAATTTTGCCTTGAATTATTCTATTCCTTGTTACAAATATATTAAGAGGGAGAAAATATTTTGCTTAGCTAAGATAAATACCAGTTATAAAATATTTTGCAACAAATATATACTTTTTTCAAGAAATTATTATACTAGATGCTAAGTTACAAATGATGATAATTTAATATTGCATAATGTGTGGATCGAATTTTATTTTGATTTTTGCTGCCTTACATTCACACGTTTAAAGGCTTATAACTGAAAATAATCTTGAAACAGTGCAATGAACTGTGCTTACCCAAACTGTCACCCAAATGAATATTACAGGATAAATTATAATACAATGAGAGATCAAAGCAACATTTAGTGTTTTAGCTAGAAGGGGGATCTGTCCCTGGGAGCAACCTTAGAGCAATGCCAAATTTATGAAAAAATATTAAAAATGAATTTCTAGGTAAAATGCCTTTTTCTTTCAAATGGCTCCAATTTAATTTGCTAATAGTGGGCCCCATAACTTCTACAGTATTTTATTTGATTTACCTAAAAATTGAACAGGATGTATATTAATATTTTAGTTTGCTTCGTTTGTTGGTTTTTTTATACATATATTTTTTAAAAATTGGTGACATGTTGAAAGAAAAATGTCCTTAGAAAAAATGCTTGATTTCAATTAAAAACTATAAATGCAGTCAAAAAGATCTAAGTGCAATAGAAAAATCATTAACATACAATGTTAAATTTTAATCTAAATTGAGTGAAAATTCAGAAGTTATCAATTTACTTTGTCTTAACATTATATAAAGCTGTAGAATTTTATTCAATGATAAAATATAAAAAAAATTGCCAAGAGCAGCAGACTTAAGTTTTTACACAATTTGAATCTTAAAATGGTCTAGTGAAAAGATCAAATTTTACATCAAATTGCAAAAGGGTGCAGTTTATTCATGCATACTGTTAATCTTAACTACATCTCTGGCAACACCCAAAAAGTATAACTTTGAATATAAAAATAGGATATGATTCTGAGGAATTTGTGCTCTTAGAAATTTAAATTTTAAACTTTAAATTTCTTGCTAGTTTTTAAAATAAATAAAAAAGATTTTTATATTTTTATGCAAGAGAAAATCACATTTCAATAACTGTTCAATTTTATACATTTAACAATACCAAAAAAAACTAAACTAAACTCAGTGGCGCGACGGCCCTCCTACTGTGCCCATCTCAGTTTTCTTAACCTTAAGCTCTGGGGTGCCGGAGCAGATGCTCCGGTCAAGTGGTCAGCCAAACGCGGAACCCCCAGTGTTTAGTTTCCAAGCATGCTTGGTACTCATTTATCGACCCACTGAAGGGATGAAAGGCTGAGTCAACCTTGCCCGGCCCGAGGATCAAACCAGGGACCTGTGGGACGACAGCACGAAGCGCTACCCCTCAGCCACCGGGTGTCTTTAACAATACCAATTGAACTCAAAATTGATATTTGCTTCTTAAGAAAATTAGTATTTGATTTTAAACACTACATGAAAGATATAATTGAAAATATAAATAAAAATGATTATATAGCAGGTGTCACAATGATGTGTGACGATTTTTATTTTTTATTAATTCAATCCTTTTTGTGTGCAATTTGGTTTCATTTCCTTTCTAAGTATACTTAAATTTTAAATATTCCATCCTTTTTAAAATGAATTTAACCTCATATTTTTCTGTTTAAAGCGTTTCATCATCTTTCTTCTCTTTTTATGAGTCAAGGTCACTTTCACTCGACTTGTTCAAGGTTAATTTTACTCCCCATCTTATTTTCGTTTTCATTTTTTCTTTCATTTTGCTTTTTCACGTACTGTCAGTTAAGACACATGTTCTGGCCGGTTCAAACCAGTTCACGTGCTTTCCCCTACACGATGTGACACCGCCTACTATCCAGAGATTTTTCTTCCTTACCATATTTGGTATGATGGTGAGTCCTGGTTACCTGGATTGGCTCGACTCATTAGTCCGGTGTCTTTCTCTCATCCAATTATCGTTTTCCATTTCAGGATGCTTGAATGTTCCCGCTCTTGTAAAAAACGCCATTTTCGTCACTTGACTTTTTTTGGGCTGGTTAGCTGGCCTGTTGTCAGCAATCCAATGATGGAGCATTTTTTTTATTTTTTAAGAGGCTACCTTTTTAAAAAAAAACGATTTCCTTTGATGAAATGATTGTTTCCATTTAATATGTTATTTTTTGTTCAGGAAATTTTTTCCCACTGCAAAAAGCCGATATTCCAGTTTGTTTGTGGAACGTTATATTCTTATTATATTTTTTCTTGAAGTAAGAGGCATGAAGATTTCAGAACCGGCTCCCCGCTTTCGTGTTTCGTTTCATTATCGTGCACATTTGTTGGAACTATTTTCGATGAACTAAATGCTTAATGAAAGCTAGCTTCTCTGCTGTCTACAATTACTGGCGTTTCAGTGCTCTGAAGAGAGAATTACAGGTCATCTTTCCATTGCTTGAAACTTTTTGATTCTCTTAAAGGACATGAAGTTCGGCCCAGACCCTCCCCCCCACTCTATGAGAGCAGACATGAAATGATTAAAATTTTACTGCATTATACCAGATACTGTCTTGCTGCATTCATTTTGTGTGATGTATGGTGTACTTCCAACCTATTTGATGTCACCGTAACTAACGCCGGATGAGTAACTTATTTTATTTATCCTCAATTTATTTGACCGGTGTTTTGGTTTCGCATTTTTGTGTAAGTCATGCCCAACAAGATGCTGATTTTATTAATCCAAACTGGGTATAGTATTTATGGGTGTTATTCATTTAATTCTCTTAATCTTGACCACAAGCCGATTTTATGGGTTATTTTACCTGGCACATTTTCACAATGTTCAATTTTCGACCACTATTGATTTCTGGCCTTTACCACATCAGTCATGATGATTCAAAATTTATTATCAAAAAAAAATTTTAATCTGTAATGGTAAATGCATATTTTTACAGTTCTATTTTGTATTTATTATTGACTGAACACCCCCTATCTACTATTATCTATCCTATCCTATGGTATATACTTTTCACCACACCCATAAATACAATATAAAACAAAATTAAAAAATAATTTCTCATTTAAACAAGCGATAATAATTTCTCATTTAATAAAAATAAAATCAATAATAATTTCACATATTGTTTAAATAAATATGAATTTCTCACTGGTGCAGCAGGTTTTGAAGTTTTTGATATGATAGTTTTATTCATGAATATAACTCTCAAAATTGATGTATAACAAATACTTTTTAACCCTGCAATTATATGACTAAAGTTTAATCTAAAATTAATATTTGAAGTTCATACAGTAATGTTATTGAAAAATTTGTTATAATGTTATTGAAATCATATGTTATTGAAAAATTTAAATAATTTCTGGAAAATATCGTTCAATGCATAGTTATCCAAAACAACTGTAGGTAATAAATAAAATAAAGAAGAGTAAAAAAAATCCCTGAATGTATAAATACTATTTCGTACATCTTCAAGTATAAAAGTCCAATTTTTATCCTCAAATTCACCACTTCTTTGGTCAGAAAACAATGTGACAGTGACAGTTTTGTTTTCAGGAATAGGCCACACAATTGAACCTTTACAAGGATTAGAGAGCATTGGTTCCCATTGAAGTGCCTAAAATCAGAGTGAAAGCAAATAAATTGAGTTTGTCAGAAATTTGGTAAATAGTATAATATTAAACAATTAAATAAATTCTGAATGTGTAAAATGTAAATGGTTTTTTTGTAAAAACTTCCTAATAAATACTTTTAGAATCCTTGTTAAAAATGAAGTATAAAAAAATATGCATTTCACGGGTTCTTAATTAATATTTAAGGAAAAAAAAATTGCTGAACACTGACTGTAAATGAGATTTGAAAGAGCAAATAAAGGATTAAAATCATTAAAAACAGTTTTATTCGTCCAGAACTAAAATGTATTCACCAATAGCTAAGACATAAAACTTTTATACTCAAATAAAGTGGTTTTAGATGGGTTTTTTAAGTCATGTATTCATTTTAGACTCCTAATATTCATACTGATATTTCTTTGCTTTTCTTGAGAATTTCAAAAATACAGATTAAGGGCAGGCAAAATGAAACTACACAGGTGAAATATAATAAAAAGCACACATCAGGATAATTTTTGTCCTCATAATTAAACTACAAGACTGTAGGGAGAATCAAGAGAAAATATTTTCTTCCATCTGCTTTTCCTTTTTATTTCAATGGAAGAAAGCCAATGGAAATTTAAATCCAAAAATCTTAAAATATGGTGCTTTATTGTGCTGCATTTGGTTGCTCAGAAAAATTTGTTAAAGAAGAACCTTATACATTTCCTACATAAGCTAATTAATCACTTTTTATAATTACATTGTTTTATTTATTTATAAAAAGTAACTTTCGGAATATTCTTCTTTTCCTTCAAACATCATATTACTCCTGATTGTTACACTTTACTCATTTTAAAATCCAAATTTATGCTTTTAAAAATATCTTACAAGTAAATATAAAAAACAAATTTTAATCATTTTTTTAAATAAATATTTTTTAAATATCCTTTTACAAAATGAGGCAAAAAATTCAGACAGTTATTGTATCATAGAATAGAAGTTAAATTTCTTTTTTATTTGTGCTTACATTTTCTTTTGTCTATTACTTTCATTGTAAAATACTTTATTATATACCTCTCAGCTTACAGCTTTTTTACAATGTCAAGCAAAAGATCTGATATTTTAGAGTTGTCTAAGCAAGGAAAATGACAGCGTGAAATCGTTAATTTGATTTGTACACAAAAGTTTGAACATTCTAAGTAGGTAGGTATTTTATTTACGTGACACTAGAGTTGCACAATGGGCTTTTGGCAAGGGTCTGGGAAACACCCCAGAGGATGATCCGATGACATGCCATGGCAATTTTGACCAATGATGCTTGACTTCAGTGATCTACAGTCTTTACAGTCAGCCCACTGCGGGACTTGAACATTCTAAAGTAATTGCTTTGACAGGAATGAGACAGATTAAGAGCAGAAGACTTGTGGCCCATTGCAAAAAATTTCAATAAGTGCTTTTGCTCTGCAAAAGGCAGTCACTTTGTAGCCAATTAAATTTATTTATTAGTAAAAGTCTGCTCCTATTATTATTTGTTATAAGTTACTTTATTTTTAATTATACCATACATAATTACATTACGAAATATTTGTTCAGATTTTTTTGCCGCACCCTGTATTTATCTTTTATATCTGTATATAACAAATAAATGCATTAATATCACTACTTTTAAGATTCACTTAACTTCTCTTGATTTTTAGTCAAAATCATACAGTTGAGTCAAAATCATACAAAATCATACAGTTTTTTAGTATCTATGTATGAAAAGCACCTGCTGTAGCTGACATTAGGGCCAACTGCTTGTAACTGGTATATGATAAAAAGAGGAGTAAAATCACAAAACTAGAAAATGATTTTGTTTGAAAGGTGATGTTTAGTAAAATTTGATGCAGCAATAATATGTTCTTCTGAAGAAAAGGGAAAATAAGACAAAGAATAAAGGAAGAATAAAGAAAGAGGTTTCATTTTTCCCTCAACTCCTTTTTTTAGATACACGGTTTGGTTTTTATTCTAAAAGAGAAAAAATACTGGTTTTGACATTCATAAATCTATTTTTTCGTATTTCTTTCCTACTGAAAGAAATTCAAAAAGAAAATCCAAATGTTATTTTAAAATTCTGAATTCTGTGTTCGTCAAAATAGTATGTTTAGAACAAACAAAAATCAGGAAGATCAAAAAAGCTAAAAATCAAGACAGAATATTTTTTATCAAGACAGCTATGAACCCTGCAAATGTGGAGAAGATTTTGTTATATACTACTCTAATTTTAACTAAAGATGTGTTTAAAAACTTCTAGCTGTTCTGTAGAAATTAAATGCTGCGTTTACAATCTAGGTATGATTATTTTAATCAACTTCAGTTTAAAGTTCTTCATTATAGATCACAAGAAACCCTGTTATAAAACTATATGCTTTTTTTTTATCTCACACAATAGTCACTTATGTCCAGATCCATAACTTGTAGTGCATATAGGATTGGAATTATGAAAAAGCCTGAAAACTCCTGACTTTTAGAGTGAGTGATCATTTTGAATAGTGATGCTAAGAACAAAGCAGGAAACCCAATATTTTAATTTTAATGTTGCAATTATTTAAAAGCAAAATATGAAAATACAAAAAGCATATAAAATTAAAACTTACAGCAGTCGCGTGTCTGCGGCTTTTTCTAGTCCAAACTACACACAATTGAGAGGGAGACCTTTATTATAATGAAATGAAAATATTAGTTTTTGAATTTAAAAAGCAATAACATAAAGCACTAATAATTGATGAGTTTTCTGTGAACCAATGACTAACCCCTAGATTATTTTGTTTAGTTTTGAAATTATTTACATAAAGATTGATAATGCAATAAGTCACACATTTAATTATTGGTCAATGATAATTTTATTTTTTGAGATTTAGAGTTTGATTTAGAATACAGGATTTCCATAACCCATTTCCATAAGAAAACCCATTTCTTATGGAAATGGGTTTTCCATAAGAAAAAGTATAAATATTATTTTTGTATTTCTTATTAAGCTTCCCAAATAGAGCCAAAAGAAATGGGATCTGTATATAAATTACTTAATGGATTAGATAGGTTTTTGGGGGGCCACATTCAACCCATATAATCAATATGATGAAAGTTCACACAGATTTGTATGAGTTGTATATGCTGTCTAGAGACTTTAATACAAGCAGCTAAAACAAACATGTAAAGCTTGCCTATCAAGACATTATTTTTGGAGATTTTTGTAAGAGCATTACACGTTGATGCGTCTGGATAGCACATCAAAGTCCACCTGTAGATTATTTGTAGAGTCCAAACAAATTTATGAGTCACTCATCAAAGCGTACACATATATATTATTTTATATAGATAGATTATTTTGATTTGTAATGGTTTCTAATAAAGACTATCTAGAGAATTTTATATGTATATAGGTGGAATAGATTCATGTGAGCTGTCCATCAAAAGAATTTTCATTTGTGCAGCTGACACAAATTTGTATATGTTGTAAATTTGAAGATATTTGGCAGATAAAACAAATTTATACTGACAGTCTATCAAAACCTACCAAAAAATTTTTATAAGAAAAATCCATATAGATCTGTATTAGTTTAGTTTTATTTGCTCACCCCACACACATTCATATTCTTGTTTCAAAATTAGAAAGATCATTACTAGCCAACCCACACAATTTTGAGTAAGTTAACCAGAAAAGCTTATGAGGGTTATTTAATGAGGTTAGACCTCGTAAAATATAATATTTATATCTTACCAATATTTAATAATTAAAAAATATTTATCCCTTTCCTACAAAGAAGTTTTTGTCCAGGTCATTTATTTAGAATTTTATGGGTTAACTATCTATCAAAGTGTATTTAGAAGGTTTAAATTGTGTATTATATGTGTACAGCTATGTATTATTTTCTATTTTAAATCCAGTAAGAAATTTTTATTGCAGCAATGCATACAGATAAACTACCCTAAAACTAATCTCACACCAAGACATAATGTGGATTATCTGACTCCAAATATAAAACTGTAATATTTTGTACTTTGTACTGTATATTTTGTAACTGTAATATTTTAAAACTTGGTATGTAGCCAATTCTGGAATTACCCCAGAAAATTCTTCATAACCCTAAAGCACTAGAACTGGCTGCTACATACCAAGGCCTTTAATAATCTGAGACTTTTATACATTTTTTTCTAACACCTACTATATCTATGGACATAATTGATACAAAACATGTTGTAAAATGGGATCACTTTATGACAGGTGTGGATACTTTGGGATAATGGCATTTTGAATTGAATGGTTTCAAGCAGAAAGCAAGAATAAAGGTAATTGTCCCTGGCTTCTTTTTAGTTAGTCTCAGAGGTAATAATAAGTTGTGGAACAGCTGTCATTTAATTGATAATTGATACTTATTGATTGATATAAAAAACTGTTATTTAATTGCATTTCCTTTGCTACCAGCTCTAAACTTTGTCAAAACACATTATTTACAATATTATCCTCAACAAGATAACTTAGTATTCAGACTTCTAACATAATGAATGTATCATATTTACAGATAGAAACCATTGTCTTTTTGCTTATTTTACATGTCAGAACTAAGAATACTGCATTTTGAGTGCTGATTTTATGACAGTTTTTCATTATATGTTGATCAATGATGAGGGTAGTGTGATCATGACTCTGACTACAAAATGATGTGGGAAATGTTTTTGCTGATCTCACATAACCATTAGAAGATATTAAAACAAATGAAATAGCATGAACTGATGATGAAACAACGATTGATAATGTCGTACTATGTTGTTATTCAGTTTTTCAGTAAACTGTACTCTAAGAGTACAGTTCACTGAAAAACTGAAACTCAGTTGTCAATGAGAGATACCAGTTTTTGGTAGAGCAAAAAAAAAAAATCATTATATGAATATTACTGAAACACCTGATTTCATTTAGTTCGAGAGAAATCAAATAAGAAAAAAAAAGATTCCACTTATAAATGAAATTTCAAATAATTTGTTCAAAGATTGTTTCAAAGTTTAATTATAAATACAGTTGAACCTTGTTAAGGAGAATTTGTTTTTAACCTGAAGTAATTTTCCATTCCCCACCCAATTTTATATAGTTATAATGCTTTAAAGTATTTTTAACGCGAACACACTTCAAGTGAAATATCTTTTAAGGTGAATTTGAATTTCATCACTATTTCAATTTTCCCTTTTGACATGATCAGAAAATATATTTCCTCTCCGCCAGGTAAGAAAACTGATCATGCACTGTTCTATATCTATCAGGAGGTATTTCTGAATGCTTTGTTATGTGTTGATAATTTCATTATTACATCAGCTAAACTAAAGAGTTTCATGAACTAAATCTGTTGAGGACAAAAGGGTATTACAGGAAACAAGCTTTTTTTACTCTAATAAGGATAGAACTTTCTTTCATGGATGTGAATGTAAAGAAGCGTGTTTTTTAGAAATGACCACCCATATTGATCAGATTTTCAATATGGGTTTGCTATATCTTACAAAGTAATTAAAACTGTTTGTTCTTTTGTAAAGCAAAATGAAAATTCAAAACAGTTGATAAGTCAGAAGATTTTTGAAAAGCATGTGCAAATAAACTAAAACAGTGAGATATTACCTATAATTTTGTTGGTAATCCTCTCTAATTTGTGCAATAAATCAATTTACTCCTATTAGTTAGTTTTGTTTTTTAATCTATTTTTTATTTGTTTCAAGAGAAATAAAAAATAGAGCAAAGAAAGTAAGTACACTTTTTTTTAATTTTCTTTGAACTACAATTTTTTTTCTGTCTTTATAAGTTCATAACTTTATTGAGTTGTGAAAAAAAAAGGCTCTATTAACCCTTTCGAGCCGACTGTCACATATATGTGACAGCAAGAAACGCGCTCACTTCCCGGCCGACACACCCGCGTGTCAGAGAGTTTTCTCGTTCACCCCCGACCGTCACTTATTTGTGCCAGCGTTTCGGAACGTTTTAAAAAATGAAATTTCTTCCAAAAGATGGCATTGTATGTCCATATGGTTTCAGATACATGTAGATTTGACCTTCTACTCAAGATGAAAGTACATTCACGTGGTTTTTAGGGGAAGGAGTGGAGGGGGGGAATGTTTTATGAGGGCTCTTTAAATTAGCACGTGATATTTATTTACAGTAAGTAAGGGAGTTTTTTTTTTCTCTCGCTACTTTCGATTTTCGGATTAGTTTTTAGTGGATAATTAGATCTTGTAGGCTTGAATTTTTTTTCTTTTTACCGTTAGAATGTCGAAGCGTCGAAAAATTTTGACTGAGCTGGAAATAGAGGAAATTATGCAAAATATTTCAGATATTGATTCTGAAACAGATTCGGATAGTAGTGATAGTGACACTATAATGAAAATAAAATGTGTAAAATATACATTTAAACAAGAAATAACTTAAGTAAATAAAGTATCCATAGAAATATATATAAAGCATATGTCACTTAAATACTCTACAGAACAATATTAAACAACGCGCTGATATTTCGGCAATTTCATGGAATTAGGCTTAACATCGAAAAACCCTCCGGCCCTGGGGAGACACACGCTAGAGAGACTGCCGGCCTCAGCGGTAAGCACGCTTTCACGCTTTGCGTCGCGAAAGGGTTAAAAAACATAGTTAATTTATATAAAAAAAAACTGTTTTTACTTTACAAAAAAGCAGAACAATCATTACTAATTTTTATTAATAAATTAACATATAAATCAAGTTAATTAGCTTTGTAATTTATTTAAAATGAATATATGCATTTATTAATAAAATAATAAATGTATGTTTTAAGTGTTTGAAGTTATGATTTAAAAAACAGAATACTTTTCATATATTAATCTTATTATAAGAGCTTTAAGTATAACAATATAATTAACATAATGCAGCATTAAATAAAATAATATGCATCGAAAATCAGATACATTGAAAATATATATTAAAACTAATTTAAATGAACTTTTGTTTTTATTACCATACAAATTAAAAAAAAATCTTAAAATTAACTAAAAAATAACATACAAAATTTAATAAAGCATCTTACTCCCATTTATGCTTTTGATTACTGTAAAAAAAGTTCTTCAATAATTACATTAAACCAATTTAAAAAAATTATCAGAATATGGATTTAATATGGTCTACTTTATTTCCACCATTTCAAGTCTGAAACTAAAATCTGCTCAAATAAACATATTTTATAGTGATATTTTGTTGTAAAGTTCAAAATTGGAAGGAAAAAAAATTAAAAATTCCAGAATTTAAATTATTAAAAATATTTTCATAAAAAAAAACTAGGTTTGGTTATTTTTTAAAAAAAATATTTGGCTTAAATCAGCCAGCCCATTCTGAAAATAAAATATCTTTTCTGAAAATAATTGCTTCTTCCTCATTTCTTAACTGCAGCAACAAAATTAGATTCTTTATTCAACTTTAATATCACTAATCTATTAATGTTTTCAAATTTCAGAGAATTTCTTTTATTAGTTAGGATTAATTTGAGTTGTGAAAACACTCTTTCAACTTCTGCATTAGAAACAGGTAAAATATTTGCTATAGTAACTAATTGGCTAATTAAGGGAAATCTACTGGAGCTATTAGTTTCATACATTATAGAAATAAGTTTTTTGATGGAAAGAACATTCTTTGGAATATTTGACAAGGA